AACAAAAACAAACAAACCTAAAAAACGATTAACTGTATACAAGTGTCTGCTGCGTGTTATTCCAGGATCTTACCGGCTTTCAGTGCTCCCCAGGTGATCTGTTCCAGGGCAAAACACATACCCCTCTTCCCCCCAGCTCTTTATGTTACTGACCTGGGTATGGGTTTGTGCAGGAGTGACCTGCTGCCGGACCCTGTCCCTGTCAGCCGGCTGAAATGCTCTGTTGGTGCAGAAGGACGGAATTACAGAAGCCTCTTTAGACTGGGCTGGCTACTGGAAGTGAGACTCTGCTCTGAGTCTGGGATCTGAGCCATGATGCTCAGATGTTACACACATCCCCTCTGAACCCTATCATCATCAAAGTTCATCAAAGGAATCCAATTAGACACTGGGAGTGGTTCTGTTATGTCATGATCTTTTAAAAGAGGATAGAAAAAGAGCAGAGGAAGAATATAGTGGGGGGGTGAGGAAGAAAAGAAAGGTTAGAAAGAATTACCTCACATAATCGGGGTGTGCAAACAGATAACTACACAAACAAGGAGGAGGGGGGGAGATATGGCTGACACTTGAACCTCACTCTCATCTGAATTGATCAAAAGAAGGAAAAATACACAAGCATATAGAATTTGATACAAAAATACATTTCACTCAACAGGGAAATGAGAGAGAAAGGGGACAAGGGGTAAGGGGGGGGGAAGTGGATTAAGGAATCTGAGAGGGTACCTATAAATTGGGGAATGTTCAGAGAAAGAACTGATGAGTGTGAATGCAGATCAAAGCATACTATTTTTCACTTTTTTGTGGGTTGTTTTTTTTTTGGTGGTCTGTGTGTTCTTTCACATGACCATTATAGAAATATGTTTTGTATAACTGCATACGTATAAACTACTTCAAATTACTTACTGTTTCAGGAAAGGGGGGGGGAAAGGGAGAGAATTTGGAACAAAAAAAATTTAAAACAATGTTAAATGGATGGCGGGTGACATGGACAATGTGGAAACTTGCTTTGATTGACTATCCATATTTCTTTTTTTGTGTTCTTGAGGGAGGGAGGTAAGATATAGGGAGAAGGTTAGGGTGGGAGGGTTAGAAGGCAGATCTTGGCTGATTAAAACAAAATATATTTTTTAAAAGGTTAAAAAGAATATCATTTAATCTTTTTGAAATTTTGAAGGTACTTCAGGAACTTGAAGACTGCTGATATCATTAATTATAACTATCACAATGTATAGGATCTGTGAGTTCAGGCTAGAAAGAATATCCAAGATCATCTAATACAATCCCTTCACAGAGAAGAAAATGAGGCCCCCAAAAGTAAAATGACTGGCTCTAGGTTCCTTAGTTGATAACAAGCAGTAAGGAGTCAAATTCAGGTCCATACCTCACCCCCACTCCTTGTTTGTGTGGTTATCTGCTTGCACACCCTGATTACGTGAGGTAATTCTTCCTAACCTTTCTTTCCTTCCTCACCTCCCATATTTATTTTTAGTTTTCAACATTCACTTCCATAAGATTTTGAGTTCTAAATTTTCTCCCCATCTCTCCCCTTCCCCCACCCCAAGATGGAGTGTAAACTGATATAAGCTCAACATATACATTCGTATTAAATCAGGTCCTTTTTCAAAGTATGATGTTACCTCAGGATATATAAGAGACATGTCACTTGTGGAAGAATGGGCCACATCTATACTGTCTCTGTGACATTCCCTGGATACTGCTTATTTGCTAAATTTCTAATGTTAGCTTGGTAATTTATCATTTGTCACAAGAATTCAGTACAATTCTCATAATACAACAGGGGTTAGCAAACTATGGGTCAGCAAGTTAAAAATAGCTTTTAAATTTTTAAATAAAGTTTTACTGTATTTAAAAATGTAAAAACCCATTATTAGCAGGTGGGCCATAAAAAAACAGGCAATGGAGTCCCAGTTTGCAGACTCTAAAACCTACAAACACTTAAAAGCATACTTGTGCAGAGTACTATGTATCAGGTAATTTCTGAAAACTGGTTGTACTCAGGCCGTCAGAGAGAATAACAAATAAAAATTTACATGACTGAGATAAAGAGGGAAACTATGTTAAGCTTAAAGGAATCACAGACAATGAACTATTAACTATGAACAATGAATATTAATACTAAAAAATGCACTAATGACATTAAATTCATCATGAAAAAGTTAAGTGAAATGCAGAAAGACAAATAAAACAGGATTAATATACAAAAGATACACATTGTTAAAATTATGTCAATATTTCATATATAAACATATGAATTAGTAAAACAAAAACTGGAAGAATTTAATGTTCTCTTAAAGTTGGAAAAATCTAACAAGCATAAACAAAAAAGAAAATAAAGAATACTACTATGTTGTAGGAAATGATGAGCTGATTTTAGAAAAACATGGAAAGATCTGCACGAAATAATGAAGACTAAAATGAGTAGAACCAAGAAAACATACAGTAACAGCAATATTGTTCGAAGAACAACTGTGAATGATCAAATTATTGAGTATTACAAATACTCAAATCAATTACAAAGGACCTATGAAGATGCTAATAGGAGCATGTACAGTATGGTTTTACATACGAACACATATTTGTGTCAAATGGTGGCTGTCTTTAGTGCAGGGTGGAGAAGGGAGGGAAAAAATTAAAAATGCACAGCAGAGAACAAAAGAAAACTCAGAAGGAAGCACAGAAAAGCAGATTAGTTTTGAAAATGATGTGTAGTATTTGTTACACAGTTTTTTAAAAAAAGTAAACTGTGAAATAGAAGTTCATTGTTTCATATTGAATCTTCTTGTGCTGTGTATGTGGAAATGTTTTTTTCTTTTTGTATATAAGTTCAAAATGAATAAAAAATAAAAAACAATACATTTAAAAAAAAGAAATAACTAAACAAATGGAAGAATCCAAAGCTACAAGGCATCCTCTGAATAGGACATTAAAGCATGTGTCTATCTCTAGCACTACATGCTACCTGTAGAGAAAGAGTATGTGTGTTAAGGAACAGAGACATCTTAAACGTTAAAAAAAAAAAAAAAAAAGTAACAGGCTTCATAAGGGAGAAAATACCAAGTTTAGATGATGGTAACACTACCCAGCATGCATTGAATACATTAAGATTTGCAAGGTGAATTTCATGCTCTTATTTCAACCTCACAAGAGCCTTGTGGTATTAGTATCATCCCCATTTTATTGACGCAGAAATAGAGTTTAAGAGGGGTTAAATGACTTGCTCAGGTGACACAATTAATAAGTGCTTGGGGCAGCATTCAAACTCCTATCTTTAGGACTCCAAGTCCAGTGCACTACCTACTCTGCCACTGAGACGAAATCTCATCTCCAGCCTCCAGGAGTTTATAGTACGTTAGTACTATGTCTTGGGGAGCCATGCCCCCTCAGGGGGAATGGGACATGACCCTAAGAGATGAGTTAGTAGTGATTAATCAATCAGATGGCAGCAATGTAAGTTGAATCCCACCCTTCCTGGAGCTTTTCTCCAACACAAACACTCCCACCTTTCACCAGTCCTTTTTAGTCCTAACTAGCCATTTTGCACAGGGGTCATAATCCAAATGAAAAGAGACAGAGATAAGGATCAGATCTGCCTCTTCACCGCTAAGGGTAAGGAAGCACCTCCTAGTGCAAGTCTGCACTGTGTCGGAAAAGTGCCTGTGGTATTAAGAGGTTAAGCAAATGCCCAGAGCTGCCCAGCAGGGGGTGTGTCAGCTCTCTATGGACCATGCCAAGAATACAGCACTCCAATGAAACATGGGAGTCACACTGGTACTCTAAATGGTATAGCTAGCTTTCCTGGGACACAGCCAAGGACAGAGAAGGAATGACGGAAGAGCATCAGATCTTGTTTTCATTACTCATCACAGGATAACTAGTATCAGTTTGGAACAAACCTAACTCAGAAGCCCTTAGTCCAGCCTTCTCATTTTCCAGATGAAGAACCTGAGATCCATGGAGGCTGATTTGGCCAAGGCACTATACACAGTGTGACAGACGGGACCTGAACTTAGGTTTGATGACACCAGAGTCAAGTGTTATTCCACCACGGAATTATGGTCACTAACTAGTTTTTAGCTGTTGGAGCATAAGTACTATCAAAGTATAAATGTAACAAAATCTTAAATTGTATCATCTTTAAAAGTGATTATTTTAGATCTCTGCATTTTCTAAAGGTTGGTGTCTTAGAACAAAGTCCCAGTGCTTGAGGTCAGTTATAATTCTGGCCAAGGTTATAAATTTAAAACCAGTGATATGATTAGAGTTAATCCTTTTGTACAACATTTTAAAAAACATACAAATGTACAAATGTTTACAGCATAGTGTACCACAAAGAACAAAAGCACAACAATCTAAATTTTTCCATTTATTAGTCATGTGACACGAGTAACTCCCCATTAACCTCTCAAAGCCCTCACTTCCTTCATTTGTAATTGAGGATAACACTTACACTATCTATCTCCCAGGGCTGTTGAGAGGGTGAAGGGAGACAGTACATCTAAAACATTTTGTAAACCTAAAGTACTACATATTATATTCTCTATCCTTCAAAAAGCACTGGTCCATGCTTTAGAAGATACAGCTGAGACTTGTGGTCTGTACATTTTAAAATGTCTTAGCTAAAATGGGCACTGGGCCCCTCATTTGCTGAGGCTTTATACTTGACAGACGTACTGAAAATGAAGCTACTCTATTATCTCTTCAATCACTAGTTACTTTCACTTAAGACAAAGTAAGTGATGGGAAGCCAAACAAGAAAAACTTTCCAGTTCCCTCATGGTGGGAGCTCCCAGGTATAACACCTAAATCTCCTTTCACAACTTAATTAACATTTCTGTTCTTCTTGAAGGCTTTTGTGCAGTTACTATCTAATCATCTCTCAAGCACATACTGTGGTGAGTTCTTTTTCTACAAAATAATTATTTGCCAAACAGCAAATCACAGTACCATTCACACTCTGCACGCTGTAGCAGATGACTCACCTGACACTGGTTAATGGCTGCATGGTTGCCATGGAATGGAGACTGTCGGTCTTTATCCCGATGATGCCTACTGCTGTGTTTACTTCTCTGTAACTGCTGGCGCAATTTTGCAATCTAAGAGAGGAAAGATAAGAGGCACCATTTTAGAGTCTTTTCCCTACTATATAAAAATATACACAAGCATTAGCCACTATTTGGACATAGTATATTTGTCAGGCCCAAAAATTAAGCTGTTAAAATCATAAAATCTAATCTCAAGCAAAAAATTTAAAACATTTACAAGAGAGGAATACTTTTACTTATGTACTGCTCCAGTAAAGTCTTATTCTGAATCTTCATTGTGGAGGAAAATAGTGCTGAGTGCGTTTGTTTTTTAATAAGCATTTATTTTCTCTCCCACCCCATTGAGAAATAAAAACAAAAACAAAAACAAAAATGTATAGTCAAAACAAATTCTTTCATAGACAATTTTAAAGATGTATTTCTCATTCTTCATCTTGAGTCTGTTATCCCTTTGTCAGGAAGTGGGAAACATACTTCATCACTGATCCTCTGGAATTGTGGTGATTAGAAATTGCATGGATCCATTTTCTTAAGTCTTTGAAAGTTGTTTGTCTTTACACTGTTATTGATACTATAACAATTTTTTCCTAGTTCTGCTCACTTCATTCTAAATCAATTCATACAATTTTCCCCACGTTTCTCTGAAACCATTTCTGTAGTTACATCTTACAGCACAATAGTGCTCCATACACATTCATACGTCATTATTCATTCAGCTCTCCCCAGATGAGGGTACCCCATTAAGTTTCCAGTTCTTTGCTACCACAAAAGGAGATGCTATAAATATTTTTGTGCTGCTGGATTCCAATGTCACTTAAGCATAATATGTGGTAGGTTCTACAACAAACTAGAAAGATTTTGACCTGGTGCTGGGCCTGTTGTCAAGGATCCACCAAATCAATTAGTAACCATTTATTAAATGAAGGAGTAAAAAAGTATTTATTTAAGCACACATGAATGGTTGGACACATAGGATGTAAACACAAAAGTGAAACAGTCAGTCCTTGTCCTCATGAAACTAACATTTTATCAAAAGAAACAATACGAAGACAGAAATGTCTCTATCCTTAAGAAGTTTACCTTCAATCAGAAGAAACAACATATATGTTTAGTAGATACAAAATAGGCCCTAAGCAGACACAGAGAAAATTGAACGGGAGAAGAATGGCAGCCAGAGGATGAGAAAAGCCTCTCAGATGCAAGGAGGAGGCAGCTCCCAAGGACAACCTGAGCAAAGGCAAGCAAAGCTTAACCAAGCTTGGAGATACTCATCACCAGGCTACCTAATGCACAAGGTCCACTTTGGCCAAAGCAACTCTACAGGACCATCTGTGGAGCACAAAAAGACTATAATCTGCACTGACAAGGGGAGAAATGCATATGAATGAAATGACTGATGCTTAGGCTTCCTATCTTCAGTGCCTCATATAGAACTGGTTCCCATTCTAGGTACTTAGTAGTCAGAATAGAGGGTGTTCCATAAGTTTTAGAATTGTTTAGATTGGGAGTAAATGACATCTTTAGACGTAATCAGAGTAACTTTAGAGTACTCCAGAATAATGACATCTTTAGCATGTGTGACCAATAAAATTTGACATACCTGACAATTCACACACTAAACAATTATTAACTTATTTCTCCTCAAAATACGTATAGAATTTTCAAATATGCATAAATTTTGTTTCATTTTAAATCCAAAAAACTCATCCCCACCCCATCAGCAGAAACAATTCTTTTTCAAATGTTTTGAAATCTAGGAAGAGATATTTTTAGACTATCAGTTTTTGCATATTTACACAACATAATGGTGAAGTTATTAGTTGGATTTTAACATCTGGGACTTGAGTAAGCCTTCTGCTGTTCTCAAATAGATCAGTGTTGTTTTTGTCTAGCTGTACAGTCAATTCCTTAAATTTGAAATTATTCTTCATAAATTCCCTTGGTGGTTTAAAGAAACTAAGCTAGTTTCTTAGCTTTAACTATACAGTTCTCCTTCACTTTTTGTGAATAAACTTTGATAAATTAGCAGTCAAGTTAAAATTGGGTTCTTGATGCTCAGTCAAAATGGCTCTTTAAAAAAATAAAAAAAGATATTGGAAAGATTAATAAATTAAAACTCATGTAGTCTAAGCCATAAACAAAAAACAGTATACTGATTTTCACTCTGTTCCTCCCACATGACTCCACATTCCCACTTTCAAGTCTTTCTTTGCAGAGGCTGTCCCCATTGGAAGATAAGCTCCTTTCAGGTAGGAACTGTCCCCCTTTTGTGTCTGTAGCCCAGTCCCTAAGCACACTGAATTACTCATAGCTACCATTCCACATGTGCCTGAGGACTGCCTGATAAAATGGTTGTATGCTTTTTGCCAGACTTAAAGAGGCACAGATGCTTTTCTGCAAAATACTGGTTGTTTTCAATATGAAGTATTTTACAAATTAAAAACAAACAAACCAGAGAATCTCGTCTGTAGACATCTTTTTTCTCAACCTGACAAAACCAGACGTACAAAGGAACCCCAAAGCATCCATTAACTAGGACTTAATACAACATAAAACAACACCAGCTCCACCTCTACCCTTTCCAGACCTAAAAAACCATGGCTGCTTTCCTACAAAATACAGGTAGCAATGGACCCACAGTGCCTTGGGACAGGTTTATGAATAGTTAGTTTTGTTCTAAAGATATGAGAGATGAGGAGAAATAAGTGGGTTTTACTTGAGTAGTCCTTGAAAGGAGTTTAAAAATTTTTTTTGGCATTTAAGTCAGGGAAAGTGGCTGGACTAGGCTGAGTACACACAGAAAAGAAAAACAAATCCTGCCATTAGGCAATACAAACTTGAAAGAAGTAAGGATCAATTATCAAAATATTCCAAAGAGGAAAAAGTACTTAAAATTGGTAACTATCGTATGTGGTATTATGTCTAAAAAAGGAGATCAAGAAGACACCAGCAACTGCCAAATCACAAGTGAATCTCATCTCCAAAAACAAGCCTTTGTGATAGTGATCTTGGTCTTCACATACAAAGAAGACATCTCACGAAAATGAGAAGGGAAAAGACAAACATTCACAAATGGTTTTGTTTACAGCAGACTGAATCCTCACCAGCTAATCACAGATAACTAATTAAAATGGGTATAGACTGAGCAGTAACTGAGTTACAGAGAGCTTTAAAGTCTGCACCCAGTTTTACATATACAAGGCTCTCATTTGAGACTTACAACCACCCGTGAGGTAGGTAAGAGAAGTACAATTATCCTCATTTTGCAGATCAGAGATTCTCTCTATCTCTGTGTATACACACACACACAGAGATAGAGAAAGCGGGGTGAGGGGCAGGCATGAGCCTCTTTGGCAGTCTGGTGAAGTCTACAAAAAGTCATCACAATGTTTTAAATACAAAAAATACATAGTTGTTTTCCCCCCATCCAAGTTTATTGACGTGTCTTCTCCTCCCAATCTATCCCTTGTTCTCATGAAGGCCAGTGGACCCCAGGGTAAGCATCCCTGTAACAGATGAAGATATTGAGGATCAGAGAAATTTAGTGATTTATCAATGTTCATATGGGTAGTAAATGTCAAGTGGCACATGAACTAAAGGTCTCCTGATTCCAAATCGGCACTCTAGCCCCTGACATTCTACCTTTTTTTTTTAAGTTGATATAGAGAACACTTGAATATGCTATAAATAGTTTATGCATTATTTTATTCTTTATTTTATCCGAATGTTTATTTAGTTTATAGTTACTAAGTTTATAGTACAAAAACATTTATTTTAAAATGCAGAACTTGAAGATAAAGAAAAAAACCATTAAATGACCCATGCCAGAGTAAAAATTATTTGCCCTTTTAAGGATATTTTTTCTGTTGGTGGTGATATGAAAAACCATACTTTGCTCTAACACTTTAGAAAACAATCAATCAATAAGCATTTACTTAGCACCAACTATATGCCAGGCTCTAGTGATGGTGACCTTTTTTTTTTGGTCTGTGTTTTACATGATTGCACATGCATAACCTACACTCAAACTGCTAGTCATCTCAATGAGAGAGGAGGGAAGGGAGGGAAGAAGGGACAGAGAGAATTCGGAACTTAAAATTTTTTAAAAAGGATGTTTAAAATTGTTTTTACATGTAATTGGGGGAAAAATTATTCAATGATTAAAAAACCCCACCAATTGAAAAAAGGAATCATTCAAGTAAAGGAAGGAAGGAAAGTAGGCAAGGTAATGGGAGAGGCACTAGAAGACAGGGAAGGAGTTCAGAAAAGACTCCATGTAGGAAGGTGGCATTAAACTTGAGCTAAGAAATTAGATTACACAAGACAAAAGGCAGAGAGAGAATGTATTTCAGGCAAGGGTGAGAACCTGTGCCTGTGCATGGAAATGCAATGCCAGAAAAGGTAGGCTGAAGCCAGGGGGTGAAGTGCTTTAAATACGAAGTGGAGGAGTCTGCATTTGTTCCCAGACGGTAACGTAGTAAATTGTCCTGATGGTAATAAAAGCCATTGCAATTTCTTGAACAGAAGACTGCTACAGTGAGATCTGTGCTTCTAGGAATATCATTGTGGTAGCTCTGTAAAGTACAGACTACAGAAAAAAGAGATTTGAGACTGGGAAAACAATTAGGAAATTACACATGGTAAGGAGTAAAGTATAGGGAGACTGGAAAGGCAGAAGGGGGCTAGGTTATGAAGGGTTATGAATGTCAGAGTATTTTGTATTTCACACTTACGGAGATAGAGAGCCAGTGAGTTTACTGACTAGGGGAATGACATAGTCAGACCCGTACTTTAGGAAAATCACTTTAGTGTCTGAAAGGCAGATGGACTGGAGTGGGGAGAGATTGAGGCAGGCAGACCCACCAGCAGGTTATTGCAACAATCCAGGTGTGAGGTGATAAAGGCCCGCACCAGAGTGGTGGCAGAGTCAGAGGACAGAAAGGGCATATGCTAGAAGACTTCAAAAAAATCTATAATCCACTCTTGCTATGTATAATATTCTAATCACAGAAATCCTTGCTCAATAACTGGTTTTCCATGGTGAAGGTAAGTAAATGAACACCTCTTTTTGCCACCTGCTTGGCAATAGGATGAGGACCTTTTTGCTTTTCAGTGTCTTTTAGGAAAATTTGATTTCTCTGAGTTCTAATGGGTTAAACAGAGATGGCTTTCTCCTGCTGAGAACAGGTCCAGGTATCATCTTGAACCTCAATAGCATTTTGTGTCTCTTTTGTCACTTCACTTCAATTAGCATTTATAAAGCACCTACTGTGTTCAAGACACTGTGCTAAGCACTGGGGATACAAAAAGAAGCAAAATACAGTCCCTGACCTCAAGGAACTTACAATCTAGTGGAGACAACAATATATGCACAGCAAGCTATACACCGGATAAATAGGAAATAATTAACAGAGGGAAGGCACTAGAATTAAGAGGGTTTGGGGAAGGTTTCCTGGAGAAGGTGGGATTTTCGTAGGGACTTGAAGGAAGCTGGGAGGCCAAAAGCTGGAGCAGAGGAAGGAGAGTACTACAGGCATGGAACTAACTGTGCTTCTCTATTGCTCTCTGGTGACAGTGACCCATGACTTGAAACCATACATCACCAATAGGATGTTGTTAAAAGGACAGACCTTTGTTCCAGGGAAAAGTGTGAAGTAACTGAAAGAATTTTGTAAATTTTTAAAGGCAATCTAGTCAGCTCTTTAGTGAAGAGTAAACCAATCACATCGCTACAAAACAGTAAAGATTTAATATTTTCCTGTTTTTCTTTTCACTACTTTATTATTGTAAAGATATGATCTACTAATGCTTTTATTTGCAAAAGTTTGTCTACATCAGAGTAATGATATGAGACTATCCTTATCAATGCCCTCGATGCCTTATCATAAAATCCTCATTAACAATGATGTAGACTGGTCTTATAAAAATATTGTAAAGATGGGAACTAGGTATATGGGCTGATGAATATTAATAACTTTGTCTTTTTTTGGTACTAAGTTGAGATTTTTCCACTACCTTACACTACCTCTGTAATATCTTCCCTTATTTCTTACACCTTAAGAATTGATTTTTCAATGTCCTCCAAATTGTATCATTTCCAATACAGACTTCCTGTATGTAAATTTAATATTATTCAGTTACTTATTCCTTCATTTTTATAAGCGCCAGTTACAATTCCTCAAGCACTGGGGCTAGGACTGTAATTTAGTGTTCAACTAGAATGAGTTCCATTATCCTCCAACGGTGAAAAGTTTGCCATAAAAATCTTTACAAATCCTTTTCTGTATTTTTATTTTTGACACGTTCTCATTCCAGTGTCATCCTCAAATACCCCTCAGGGTGACTTTATTTTAGTTGGATTTCTTGTCAAGCTTTCTTTAAATGGGCTATATTCTTTCTCTTTGAGAGGATATTGCTCATAATCTTCCATCATTCTTCTCTATAAGAAGTGAAGTTATATTCTAAACTTGTGTTGCCATTGGTTTCCATTTTCTATTTGGAAAGGAGATCTTATGTAAGCTGACTAAAGTGCTTTCCTTCATCTCCTTATGGCAACTGATTTGTATGTGTTAAACTTTTTTATTAAGTTATTATAATTGGTGATGTCTTTTCTTCTATTCACATCTTTTTTTCTTTTTTTGGTGTCAAGAACTTGCTAAAATGTGTCAGATTGGAGTTGTTTTTATTGAACACCGTATTTTCTTATTTTTCTTATTTCTAGCGTTTATGAATGTTGTTCTTTGCTCTAAGTTGATAATCTAATTATAAATAGATGGCCAACTCAGAAATGGTTCCCATATTAGTAATCTGTTCTTAACATATAATCAATTTCACTGTTTGATAGTTATTTGGTGTTCACCCTTTCTGGCACTTAAGAATTTTTTTTAGGAAGAAAGCATGAATGATTTACAAGCACAAGGCTTCTATGTAATCCACAAGCCTTTGATTTTTCTCATTATTGTTTGTGAACCCAACATATTTTTTTTGCCATACTCCCTATGTCCAATTTTGCACAGGCATCACTGCCTACAAAAGAATAAGTTAATTTGGGGGGTCTTATTTAGCTCTTCATGGAATTTCTCTATACCATCTCCTCCACCACAAATCTGGGTTTATAAGCTGATATCCTCATGATGGTCTTTTTTGCAAATACTAATCACAAGCACTGCAAAAAAGATTACCAAATGTCCCTTGAAATTATATATTTTTTTATTAATTTATTTTGATCTATCAACAATCTCTTCCCTATGCTTTTGAGTTTAAAATTTTTCTCCCCCTTCCTCCCCACCACCCTCCCCAAGATGGCACACAATCTTATATATTAAACATATTTTCAAATTAGTGATGCTGTAAGAAAGAATTAGAACCAACAGGAGGATCCACCAGAAAGGAGAAACAAAATTCAAGAGAAAAAAAATAGCAAATAGTTTTCTACTCTAGCCCCTATCATTCTACACTTTTTTAAAATTGATATAGAGAACACCTGAATATACTATAAATAGTTACAATTTATGCATTATTTTATTCTTTATTTTATCTGAATGTTTATTTACAGTTACTAAGTTTATAGTACAAAAACATTTCTTTTAAAATGTAAAACTTGAAGATAAAGAAAAAACTGTTAAATGACCCATGCCAGAGTAAAAATTATTTGCCCTTCTAAGGATATTTTTTCTGTTGGTGGTGATACGAAAAACCATACTTTGCAGAAAGAATGCAAAAAAAAAAATTAGCATGCTTCAATCTGCATTCAAATTCCATACTTCTTTCTTTGAATGTGGATAGCATTTTCCATCACGAGGCCTTTGGAGATGTCTTAGATCCTTGTATTGCTGGGAGGGCTTAAGTCTATCAATATTAGTCACAACGTGGCTGTTATTGTGCACAACGTTCTCTTGGTTCTGCTCACTTCACTCGGCATCAGACCGCACAAGTCTTTCCAGGTTTTTCTGAAGTCAGCCTGTTCATCATTTCTTCCATTACATTCATATAACACAACTTGCTCAGCCATTCCCCAATTGATGGGCATCTTCTCAATTTGCAATTCTTTGCCACCACAAAAAGAGCTGCTATGAATATTCTTGTACATTTGAATAGGTTAATCTTTTATGACAAAGGCTAGCTATTTCAGGCCACCTAATTATTAATATTTATGATATCTTTTAGCTTATACTGGACATAATGTTATGCTCAGAGCTAGGAAAATAGGTGTTAAAAGGGCAAAGGGCCTTTATTAAATTTGTCTGAGGATGGAGAAGATTAACAGGGTTAAATAAAAGAAGGAAAAAAAATATCTTGTGACAACTAAATAAAAGACCATAATGAATTGTAATACATTCCTAGGGTCCATGTGATTACTAGAGAGATAGGGAAGGCAGAGAGGCATTCTTTATGCTTTATGTAGAGGTCTACAGAAGAATCCACTTACATAAAGTGTATATATCATTTGAAAAGAGAAGGGAAAAAAAAGAGCGGTATGTACTTGCTTTTACTGACTACACAATTCTCAATTTGGTGTTAATAATTTTAGATTAAACATAGTTAAACATGCAGTCAATATCTGACCAAGGCAAAGCATTTGCAGACTTCAAATGGACAATATGTTCATTTGGTAGTGTTCTTTTTAACATTTTACATTTTTATATTTTTATATTTTGTTTACAACTACGATCGTAGTTAAGAAAAAGCTTGACAGCAGTTCCCACTATAAGATACAAATCATTTATGTAAAAACATTGTGTTTTCTAAATTAACTCAGGCATTGGGAAAAATCTAAAACAAAATGGAGGAAATTAAGCCTTTTGTTCATACTGAAAAAAGTTATGACGTATACTTTTGATATATAATCATCTGACATTCAAGAGTTATACCTGCCTCCAAATTCTCATAGAACCCCTATTTATGTCATACAAAATATGCCAGGGTTCCCTGAAGTTCAGTTTGGAAACTATTAATATTAATCCAGGGATGTGAATACAAATGGTATATAAGTTAATAATGATTATGAATGTTTGGGGTTATATAATTTTTTTTTTAAAATAACAACCCTCTGGTATTTAAATTGATATAATAGACACAAGCTAGATTCAACAAAATCAAAATCTGAAAGAAAACTGAGAGTCAGCTGAGTAACCACCTCATCTTCCCACCCAATAAATCACTTTAACTGACTTTTGTGCAGTCATTCAAGTCAACGGAAATTCTCACATATGACAATTTCATGGATATGACTGGCTCAAAAAAATTGCTTTGAATCAAATTGCTCTAAACAGACATCCCTGACCTCTTTAAGCTGGTCTGTGCTGCCCCAAGATGCTGAACGCTTGTGGGATCCTTTCTTCTTTTCAGAGTATTCTTCAGCCCATGCACTCTCTGTCTGCAATGAAAAAAATCAATCAAAGTTTAGCATATTATGCAGGCACTGATTCTTAAGGGAAAAAAACAACAACCAAAACCCAAGTGCATTCATATGTGAAAACACTTAATAAACTTACCAGAAGAGATCTGGTAAGATAAAGTGAACAATATCCAAAGAACAAACTATTTTAATGTCTCACAGGAGGAAGGAGGGAAAAACACCTACAGGAATTCTGAGGAAGGAATGGATAGAGTAAGAAGGTAGCAAAGAGGGTATAGAATAAGAGGGAAGGAAAGAGGGAAAAAAAGTGGGAAGAGAGAAATGAAAAGGGGAGAAGTATACAAAGTCACAGAAAGAGAGGGCTCTAACAACTGGCACCTCCAGAAGTCAAAGGAGCAAAAACGCTGCTGCTGTGTGTGCATTACACTCTACACTGAGATGAAACAGAGGCAGGCGCACAGTTCTGTGTCCCCCAGGCTTGGGGTGCAGAGAGATACACAAGCAGAAAGAATCTAAGGCTTCCTGGATGCTACGCTGGATCCTGAGGTAGACTAAAGAGCCATCAGAGCAAGGCAGGGCAGAGAAAGAGCTGAGCTTGCTGAGTCCTTGCTGCAACCAAAGTGTGCTCACCCCAGGCCTTGGGACAGAGAAAGACTGACAGACAGGATGAGAGACCCAGGCACTGCTGGCACACTCACCATACCAGGGCTGTGGCAGAGAGCAAGTGATCCTTAGCACTTACTTAGTGCTGCCTGGCATCAGGCACCGAAATGACTAACATGAAGGATTCCATCACTCACTGCCCAAGAACCGTTAGAGGTTTGACAGAGAGGAGTGAGGGGAGTGGACAAGTGAAGCTACTGCCCAAGGAAGAGAAATCAACTACCCCATAATTTCATAAAGGCCAGGCTGTGTGCTGCCACCAAGGCTTTTCCTATCTATTACAAAAGAGAGAAAAAGAACATATTAAAGAAAAAAAATCCAGGAAAACAAATTTCATACTTATGCAAGCTGAATTAATGCCAGAAGTGGTGGAAGAAATACCAAATTATCAAGTAAGTTATATGATCAAAATATGAAAAGAATTTAAGTAGATATTCCTATGGGAGACAGAGAAATAAAGAAATTTACAAAAATACACAGCAGAAAAAAACTGTCATATTAATGAAAGTAACAAAAAGTAGGTTCAATTGGATGTGTAAGTTAATGGAAATAAAATTCAAAACAAGCCCAAACCATGTTGCAAATGTGAAAGACTGACTGAGATTAAACTTTAGCTTTACTGGGATTCAAGATGGTATTGAAAAAAGGGGAGGAGGGAACCCTAGACTTTGTATTTAAAGAAATTCAAAGAGGCATCTTTGCAAATGGAAAGAATTCAAAGAACTTCAGTGTAGAGAAATATAAAACTCAAGTTGTGAGAGACTTCTGGCCAAGATGACTGCCTGAACAAAGACAGACTGCCCAGTTCTCACATAGCTAACTAGCTCCAGGAAAAACCCGAAATTTGCACTGGCTTGAATAATAATCCAAGAAATTCAATAAGAAAATACATTAAGTGATTTCTAGTCTAGTATTGCACAGAGAGTCAGCAAGATACTCCCACGCAGTGGAACACAGGACTTCAACAGCAAAGTCAGCACCAGGGAAAGCAAGCAAGTTGCTAGACTCCCAAAGCTATCTCCCAGAGATGTATCAAATACATCTCTGTAAGCCTGAAGTGCTTTCTGTTTGTTCAGAGGCACCAAAAGCAGAGACAATTCTAAAGTGGTCAGAAATCCCAGAGGACCAAGGAAACCTCCACCTGCTGGTGTATGGTAGATTTCAGCCTGAGATAACTCAGGATCCCAGGAGAGGAGAAAAGGGAAAGGTAGGAAGTCATGACATAAAAAAGGTCACTGAAATATTTTTAAGTAGGGATAATTTTGGAATCAATGACTAGAATTATATACTGCTTTTTTAAAAAGCATGACTATAAAAATGGAGATTTACAGTTTCATAGACAACTGTGTTCTTTTGTTATTATATACACGTATGGAAATGCTCATTTTTTGTTACATTCAGAATTAAAAAATTCATTTGCCAAAGTACATATTTGTCAAATTGCAAAATAATAATGGCAAAGAATTACTAAAGCATCAAAGAGTGACAGTTAAGAGTCTCTACAGCTTTTTCAGCAGTAATAAGGGAAATAGAGTTAAAATAGCTCTTAAAAATTCCTACACAAGTCTTAAAAACATGGAATTAGATTTTTAAAATTATAAACCTTGCAAATTTGAGTATATTAGCTTAAGGCAAAACAAGAGCATCCAAATCTATTATCACTTTGAAAATTTTAACAAAAATGGTGACTGAAAAGATATTTAATGTTTAAAAAGACAAAGCAGTAAATTCAAGGCCTACTCCAATGCCCAAGCAGGTTTGGAAATGCCTCTGGGCTCTCCAAGCCTCAGAGACTTAGCACACTCTTTGACAGGTCCAGGTGGAGAGGCATCAAGCAGAAGACTAGTGACAGACTAAGATGTCTCAGTTCTAGTCTTGCTAAGTTTGGAGAGGTTCCCTTCAAAGTTGGCTGCAGAGAAATGTTGTATTTTTCAGCCATCTGAGTCACAGAAATTTAAGCTCGACTACAGAGGGCATCCCCACACTAACAGTATCCCCATCCCCAAAATACTGAACTATGCTAGCATCCAAACCATCCACATTGGGGGAAAAGGGGGAGATGAGTAGAAAAGAATCAAGATCCTAGATAATATATTTGCAAAATACGAGGGTTTGATAAACCTCTTGAAAAGAAAAACTGGAGAAAGCATTCATTATTGAATGGATGTTATTGAGAAAAACAGATAGTGATAAGGCAAAAATTAAATTTAGAGAGCCTTACCTGAGATGAATCTGACAAACAAAAAACTGTAAAAAGTAGGAGGAAAATGCAGTTGTATATTTCTCCCCATTATGGGGTTTGGTCATTTCAATCATGTCAAACTCTTCATGATCCCATTTAGGGTTTTCTTGGCAAAGATATTGGAGTGATTTGCCATTTCCTTCTCCAGCTCACTTTACAGATGAGGAAACTGAGGCAAACAGGGTTAAGTGACTTGCCTAGGGTCACACAGCTAGTAAGTGTCTGAAGACAAATCTGAACTCTGGAAGATGAGTCTTTCTGACTCCAGGCCTAGCACTCTATCCACTAAACAATTAAACAAATGGAAAAATTATTGGATATGAGGTAGATATACACAAAGATAAAAAAATGAAACTATTCTATGAAACAGAAATATGTGTGTATGCAAAAGTTAATAAATAAAAATAACTGTGTAAACAAGTGATTTTGATAACTATGGCACATAAAACACCTTAAATTTATAAGAAACTGATACAAATATTCAAAAGCAGTATCTATTCTCCAATGTCAAGGGAAGAAAACAAGCAACTTAAAAAATGAGATACAACTGTAATAATCACTTGGGGGGAGGAAATTTTCACTTATACAGTTAGATAAGAAATTAATGTAAAAAAAGACAAAAGAATATAAAAAGGCACTTAAAAATTTAAGTAGACATCTCATCTTTAACACTATAAAACTTATTACACAAAGCAATTTTCATTAAATTATGTGCTTCTGAGTGTGAAAAAAAAAAAAAGGGAAACAGACCAGTGGAAAGGAATAAGAAGTCTAGATATAGAATCAAATACATATGAAAAAGTTTCATTAAGTTGTAGATAATAAGAATCTCAGAAAAGTGCTCATTATTTATGTTATTAACCCAGAGATTCCACTGCAAAAGTATGTATCCCCAAGAACATCACTAATAAAAAAAAAAAAAAAAAGCCCTGCATACACCAAAACATGTCAGCAAGGTGGTGTAGCAAATAAAATATCAGACTTGTCACCAGAAATCCCCAAGTTCAAATCCTGTCATAGACACTTACTGTGTGCCCCAAGCAAGTTGCTTAACCTCTTTTAGTCTGTTTCCTCATCTGTAAAATGGGGATAGTACTTAATTCAGAGGATTGTTATGAGGATCAAATGCAAATGGCACAGTGGGAAACATAAAGCCTAAGTATGTAAATGTACTTTGATATTATAACAGCACTTTTTTTTTTTTTAGTAACAAAGAACTAGACAGAAAACAGATGTTAATTAACCGAGGAATGGCTAAACAAGCTGTGATCCATTTTTTTTAATAGTTTAAAATGTATCTACTTTATAAAAATAAGAGTCATTCTCCAACTGATAAAAGATCAAAGGATACAGACAGGCAGTTTTCTAAAGAAGAAAGCAAAGCTATAAAGAGTCACATGAAAAAATGCTCCAAATCACTATTGATTAGAGAAATGCAATAAGGATAACTCTAAGGTACTACTTCATACCTATCAGATTGGCTCTTATGACAGAAAAGGAAAATGATATATGTTGGAGGGGATGTGAGAAAATTGAAACATTAATGCACTGCCGGTAGAGTTGTGAACTGATTCAACCATTCCGAAAAGCAATTTGGAACTATGTGTGTACCCTTTAATTCAGCAATACCACTACTGGGTCTGTACCCCAAAGAGATCAAAGAAAATGGAAAAGGACTTGTATGTACAAAAATGTTTATAGCAGCTCTTTCTGTGGTGGCAAAGATTTGGAAACTGAGGGAAATGCCCATCAATTGGGGAATAGTTAACAAGTTGTAGGATGATTGTGATGGAATAATACTGTGCTATAAGAAATGACAAGGGGCATGGTTTTAGAAAAATCAGGGAAGACTTATATTAATTGATGTGAAGTGAGCAGAACCAGAAGAATACTGTACCTGGTAACAGTAATATTGTAATGATGATCAATAGTGAAAGACTTGGCTACTCTAATCAATACAAATACAATTCCAGGGGGCAGCTAGGTGGCGCAGTGGATAGAAGACCATCCCTGGATTCAGGAGGACCTGAGTTCAAATCTGGCCTCAGACACTCAACACTTACTAGCTGTGTGACCCTGGGCAAGTCACTTAACCCCACTGTCTAGCCAAAAA